GTCCGAGGCCGCCGTGGCCGGGGTAAAGGGCACCTTTGCCTTGGTGTCGTGGTATATCGTCCTGCAGGCGGAGCATCACCGAAGCGGAGATATTCTCAGAAAGAGGTGACAATCGGGACGGAACGAGTGGGGCACACTCACCATGAGTGCTCCAGGGGGTGCTCTGGAGCTTTGATGCGTACACCGGGAGTCTTGGGGTCCTCGATGGTCTCCGCCTCGGGTGGGCGCGCGGAGCCATCGATGCTGAGCGTCCTCGTCTTTGCGAGACGCGCGGTGATGGCGTCAAGGCTCGGAATGTTCTTGTAGCCGATGGGCATCTTCTGCTTGGGCTTTGCGTTCGCGTTCGCGCTCGCGTCCTTGTTTTCGTCCTTGGCAGCAGCCAACTCGTGATTGAGCTCTTCGAGGTTCTCGGAGGTGAGAGGCTCGCCGGGCTCGCCTTGTGGAGTGCTGCCATTGCTGTGGGGCGTTGAGACGGAGAGCGTAGCTGGTGAGACGGAGCGCGAGGATGGGGGGTTGACGGCGACGGAATCTGAGGCGGAGGCAGCGACGGATGACGCATTTGAGTTCTGGGAGCTAGTACGGAGAAGGGAGGCGGCAAGACGGGGACGGCTAGCGGCGGTAGCAGGAGAGGGCGCGTCGAGCTTGATGCGGGCGGCGAGCTGGTTCAGGGAGGGGAGGCGGGCGCTGGGGCCTGGACGCTCTGGCTTGGGAGCGTTGATAGCGGGTGCTGCGGCGGGCTGAGGGGGAGGGGTGGACATGGTGTCGGTCGGCGTCGAGGAACGAGAGTCGGTCGACGGAGGCAAGAGACGACCGTCGCCCTCTCTGCAACAGCGCCATATCCATTTCGAGCGCTCCTCTGCGACTTGATGGCATCACACTCGTCGTTCGAATCCCCGTCGCGCCAGTCCATTTCAGGGGCACTCCTGGAGCAGCTGGACAGTCGCAGCATGTGACGTACGCGTACGCAACGGCAGCACAAGCATTTAGGTTTCTCAGATCGCTTGGGCCCGTGCTTTGAGAAAGAGTGCAGTGTGGTCTGGTCATACTGAACACCTGCCAACTGCGAAAGCGTAGCACAGCATTTTGACCCGAGTTTTGTTTGTACGCGCCCGCCAGATTTGGCGCGCCCATTGTTTGTGCTCAAGCGCCGATTTGACACTCGTCCGGAGCGATTGTTCACGCACAAAAACATGCGGCGCCGTGTTCTCCATTGCGTTCCTGCCCGCCTTACATACGCACCCTCATTCATTCCATAAAACAGGCACGAGGCTGACATCAATTTTCGTCCCGCCTGCATACTGCCTGCATATAAAGCCCAGCCCTTCCATCTCATGCTTCTCTCATCCCTCGTGCTCTCGTAGACTCTCGCTTTCTTCCTGTCCTTTACTCTACGACGCACGATGTTCGCTTCGCTCTCTCTACTCGCCGCTCTCCCTATCGCCTCCGTATGGGCTGCGCCCATGTGCTCTCTCACCCCGTCCAAGTCCGCGGGTGCTCTCGCAGCAAGCGCCACTGCAGTCTCAGGTGCCACCAGCAGCACATCCGGTGCCAGCGGCAGCAGCGGTAGCAACAGCAGCAGCGTCGGCGACGAGGTCGTCGCCACCACCTGGTACGCTGGCTGGCACGGCACCGACTTCCCCCCAGAGAACATCAGCTGGTCCAAGTACACCTCCGTCACCTACGCCTTCGCGTAAGTTTTGACTGGATCCCGTAGCTCGCTATAAATACTCACCTTGTCTCAGCGTCACCACCCCCGACGTCAACACCGTCTCCCTCGAGGCCTCGGATGAGGAGCTTCTCCCGAGGTTCGTTGACCTTGCGCACCAGAACGTAAGTCTTATGTCCGTTCCTGTTTGAATCGGATCGCATGCGTTGTGAGTTGCTGCCACCGCGTCAAGCGCTCCATTGTGCGAGGCCATGGGCAGCGCTCGGAAGTCCTCTCAGGCATGACATTGTAAAGGGTGCAAGGACGTGTTCCTGTCTCCAGAGGAACAGGCCACTCGTTTAGTCCTTCATGGAGCGACCTTGCTATGTTTCTGGCCGAGGACCTTGGGAAGGACCCCAGTAGCAGAGCCTGAATTATCTCATGTTTTGCCTTTCCCAATCCAATGACAGTGGCTCACCTTTCACTTTAACAGAACGTCAAGGCTATGTTGACTATCGGAGGCTGGACTGGCTCGAGCTACTTCTCCTCCGCCGTTGCGACCGACGCCAACCGCACCGCCTTCGTCAAGACCGTCCTTGGTCTCGTCTCCAAATACAATCTTGACGGTCTCGACTTTGAGTGCGTATTCTCCCGCTCTGCAGCACCGTCCATCGGCTAACTTCTTCACAGCTGGGAGTACCCGAACAAGCAGGGAATTGGCTGCAACATCATCTCCCCGGACGACAGTCAGAACTTCCTCTCTTTCCTCCAGGCCCTCCGCGCAGACCCTGCGGGCAAGAACCTCACGCTCTCCGCCGCGGTCGGCATCACGCCCTTCGCTGGCACCGACGGCAATCCGATGTCGGATGTCTCTGCGTTTGCCAAGGTTCTCGACTACGTCGCGATCATGAACTACGACGTCTGGGGCTCGTGGTCCAACGCCGTCGGCCCCAACGCGCCGCTCAACGACACCTGCGCGCCCGCCGCTGACCAGCAGGGCTCCGCCGTCTCGGCCGTGAAGGCGTGGACCGGCGCCGGCTTCCCCGCGAACCAGCTCGTGCTCGGCGTCGCGTCGTACGGCCACAGCTTCAAGGTGTCGAACAGCGCCGCGCTCTCGGGCAACACCCTCCAGCCCTACCCCGCGTTCGACAAGGCGGACCAACCGCTCGGTGACAAGTGGGACTCCGACGCTCCGGCCGGCGTCGACCAGTGCGGGAACCCGACTGGCGGCCCGTCGGGCATCTTCGACTTCTTCGGGCTCATCGACGGAGGCTTCCTGACCGCGAACGGCACCGTGGCTGACGGGATCGACTACCGGTTCGACGAGTGCAGCCAGACGCCGTATGTGTACAACCCGAACACGCAGGTCATGGTCTCGTACGACGACGCCACGTCGTTCGCGGCCAAGGGCAAGTTCATCAACGACGCCGGCCTGCTCGGGTTCGCGATGTGGGAGGCCGGCGGCGACTCGAACGACATCCTCCTCGACGCGATCGAGGACGCGATCGGCTTCGTCGAGGTCGACTGCTGAGCGCTCCTCCCGCCATCCATCCTACGCCTCGTACCTGCACACACCCTTCGCTTTCTCGGCTTGATGCTTCACGCATGCTTTGCAAGCACCCGCGCACCGTTCCCGTTTGACACGACCCCGCACGCTTGACGCCCCTGCTTTCACGCATGCTGTATCCTACACACCTCCACGTTCTTTTGCACGCTCGCTCCCTGATGTATCGGTTACAAGTCTTCATCTGCTGGTCTACGTGTAGCGTTATGTATTGCCCACCGGTGCTTGAGGCACGCTCTTAGATTTATGTATATAATATACGCGCCTTGCGCTGGTTCAAGCAAACCCGTAATCAGTGTGAACGAATGGTGCTCCTCCGATGGAGCAAATGAGATGCATCGTGCCCCCGTCGCAGGCTTCGCCTCGTCAACCGGCGGTTCCGATACTCTGCGTCCGGGCCATCATAGAGCACGCCATACCCGGACAGGACGTCCTGAGCTGCATGTTGGGAAGAGGACAGCCTTTCTAGGTCGACAAGTGGCAATCAAATGCCGCGTTCATTCCCCTCGTCATCTATAGATGTGCGGGTATCTCAGCTGCAGATCAAGATGCCCTCCCGCCGCCTCGTCTGACAGCGTGCAGCCTTCGGGCAGACTACTCATGTGAGACGTTGGGTACATCCTGTCGTATGGCGATCGCCTCGTGCAATGGGAGTGACGCGTTGAAGGCATTGCATGTCGAGCGCCTGGATTGTGTCTTCCCTGAAGGTAGATGACTTGTCTCGGTCTCGCTGATGCATATGTTAGCCTGGCCGCATATACTCACTTCCCACCACGCACCTAGCAGCACCTGAGCAAGTATGAGCTGGGCGCGTTCGCTATTCCGTCGAAAGGACCCACATCCTCGCGGAGGCTACATGCCCTCGCCCTTTCTCTCCCCAGCGGAGGACCCGTCGTCCGTCCGGGGTCTGAGCAATTCATCGAGAAGCGCGGCGACCTTCTTCTGCGCCTCGCTCTTCTCCGCTTGTACGACGCGGAGCTCTGCGTCGCGTCGCTTCGCGATCTGCGATTCGTCCGAGAGCAGCAAGAGCAGCTTCATGGAATGGATCGTGGACATGAGCGAATGTGCTGCGCGGATCTGCATTCACATAGAGGTCGATTCAGCATTGCAACATTGGTCGGCAAAGAGAGCATTGGGACCGCGCATCGCGTGAAGACCCGGGTGAGGAGACGGAGATGGGGTCGCTGGGAATGCCACTGAACATCGCGCGGACGCACCATTGACTCTGCGCGACATTGCGCCTGGAACGCCTCCTGCGCGATGCGGAATTTGTCCTTGTCACCTATCTGCCCACACCACGCCGCGTTAGCACGCGTTTCGCGCCGTTCACCAACAAGCTGGGAGGAAATGCACGCACCGACGCGAGGGAGACGATGTCCGCCATGCCATCTACAAGCGTCTCGATCTCGACGTCGACCTTCTTGTTCCACTCTTCTTCGATCGCGTCGAGGTACTCGTTCGAGTCCTGGTCGACCAGTGGCTGGGTAGGGCGTTGCAGTAGTTTCGCTGTCGGTAACGCGGAAGGGCGCGAGACGTCTGTTTGCGGAACGTCCGACATTTCAAGGAGAGCTGATTCGTGTGTGATATATATCTGGTGTGGTTATTACTCCAGCCTTTTTTTCTATCGAAGGTGGCGGCTTGCTGGGGTTCCAAGCTCCCCGTGGTTCAAGACTATGCAGGTTTGTCAGAGGTAGGTGCCAGTAAGTGTGGGATGGTGCAACGGTTGTTCCAATCGAGTAACGAACAACCACGACTCCAGTCAGAATGTTCGGGCACGCTGGAAGTGTGCCCTCCCGCTTAGCTCAGTTGGTAGAGCGCGTCACTAGTACGGAAGTTTACACCGTTATGACGAGGTCAGTCGTTCGAGTCGGCTAGTGGGAATTTTTTTGATCGTTCCTTCTCATCGTCAGTCTTCTCTGAGACTAATCTCTCACCTGCAGGGTTCTTAAGCCACGCCAGAATATGGTAGAAGCAATGCCTAAGGGACCACAAGCTACCTTTCTGGAAGTCCCTACTGAGCCATTAGATCACTTCAGCGCACTGTATGTGCAGCACTTGCGTAGCCTCTGTTGAGCGCCCCAGAGGGCTGAAATTCTAGCAGAAGGACCTTCAAGATTAGTACAGTAGAACTTCTATGCACTCCCTCACAGCGGGTCTCATAACGATAGACCGTTGGGACTTTACTCTCTTCAGAGATCCGTGGAGCGATGTGCCCCGAGATGGCAGGTAGAGCCACCTAGAGCCACTCTTCTTTGAGCACGGTGCTCGGTCAGCGTATCAGGTCGCCGCGAGCACTTCTCAGGAAACAAGCTTGTCGTGCTTCATCCGCTGCAAAAGTGCGGCCTGACTTCACTAGAAAGACTTAACATGCTATGGTAGATATGCCTATGCAGTTTGGTCAATTTCCGGAGAGTCCTTAGCTGCCCATAGTGGCAGGATGGTGAACTTGCCCGACTGCCGCTTTAGGGCTAGAGCGCCCTCAGAGCAGCCGACCCCGAGTACTCCATGAGCTAGTGCACGGCAAATCAGGGCGACCTGATTGACACTGGGTAAATTAGCCTATGTACTTTACTGTAATTTACATGTATCTCTGGACCCTCTTCAAAACCCCATGTAAATCAGGGTAAATCAGACTAAGACCATGAGGCTTTCAGTCCGCGCGATGGGACGGATATAGCCACGGTATTGAAAAAGACCATCGTGTAGTTTCTCGTTCTGGCCCATGTCAGTTTATACAAGTATATACCAGGTCTGTCTGGCGAAACCCACAATCGAATGAGATGTAGTCCTCAATGGTCTCTGAGTTGTCTTTATCCAGCTTCCGGTGGCACATGTGCCTCATCCAAAGTCCGGTGGTGGGATAGCAACTCATGCTTGTCGTGTTGCTGAGCGGCTCTACAACGATGCTTCGATTCCTTCTTGCGTGACATGCTTGCAGACAAGTCGGAGTGACGTGGCGAGATGCCAAGTTCGGACACAGCCCCGCAGCATAAGCACTCTACGTAGTCCAACATCCGTCGTCCACAGGGGAATAGGGACTAATGGGCACCAGCCTTGCTTGTTTGATAGGGAACAGGACGTGAATCACGCGCAATTCTGTATTTTTACCCCTAAATTACAATTGATTAGCACCGCTGTAAATCACGGTGATTTACATCGGTCAGTCTCATCTCCCCTGACCCCCATCTCTGCCTCTGCTAATTTACCTGGTAGATCTGGCGGTCATTCCTGATTTGCCGCGCACTACCATGAGCAGAGTAAAACCACAACGGTCTATCGTTATGAGACCCGCTGCAACAATAGCAGTACTCACCACCGGCTTAGTCACTGCAATCACTGATGAATACCTCTGCACGCGGGACGAAGTCCCGGATGAGCTTAACCTATTCGGGAAGCTGTGTCGTAATGGCTGGACGATCGGTGGCAGGGATTCCCTTGCAAGGCGCGTTTGCCGCGGTGGATTGTCCGTCTAGCGCATACGTCTGCGCACCAGTACGCCTGTTCCTACCCACAGATTCCGGACAGAGCGCATCATGTGTGCTATCTGCATTACCAATTACCCGTGCTTCCAGTTCGTCCTCTCTATCGATACCGCGCGCAATTTCATCGACAGCAGGGGGGAATGGCAATGTTGCTTTCTAAGCAGATGGCTGTTGCATCGGGGCTGGAAGAGGGGCAGCGAGAATAGACCAGTATATAAGGAGTGCGAAGAACGGCAACTGACATCATCAGATATCATCCAAATCATCACTCGACCACCCCTCGATTCGTGACTTTGACCATGTCTCTCCCTACGCGTAAAATTGGCAATTCAGAGGTGTCTGCCATCGGGTATGGCGCTATGGGCATCGCCGCATTCTATGGCAAGCCTTTGCCCGACGAAGAGCGGTTCAAGGTCGGGAGCGATGAAACGCGGTCTTTCTCCCAGATTAATGATCCCGGACGCTTAGGTCCTCGATGCTGTATATGAGAACGGGTGCAAGTTCTGGGATACCGCAGACAGGTACGCCGACAGCGAGGAGCTGATCGGCAAGTGGTAGGTACCTCCGAAAAGACTGCACCAATGCTTCTCGACTCTGACCCCTTGCCGTTCAGGTTCAAGCGCACCGGAAAGCGTGACGAGATCTTCCTCGCGACGAAGTTCGGTATCGTTTCCGACCCAGACAGGGCCGTCAACGGCACTCCGGAGTATGCTGTCAAGGCGCTGAACGCGTCCCTGAAGAGGCTAGGTACCGACCACGTCGATCTCTGGTATCTCCACAGGTCAGTCACTCAACACGCTTACTGGGGTTGCTGCATTACTGACCTGTGATATCTAGGGCCGATCCTCAAGTACCCATTGAGGTGTGTTGTACCTGGTCATACATAATAGGGAGCAACTTGCTAAGTTGGCCCTGCAGCTGACCATCCGAGCGATGGCAGAGCAAGTGAAGGCCGGTAAGGTGAAGTACATCGGGCTGTCCGAGGTGTCCGAGAAGACCCTGCGCCGGGCCCACGCCGTGCACCCCATCTCCGCTCTGCAAGTCGAATACTCGCCTTTCACCCTCGACATTGAGGACCCTAAGATCGGGCTGCTGAAAGCGGCTCGGGAGCTCGGCATCACGATCATTGCGTACGCTCCGCTTGGACGAGGCCTCGTCACCGGAAGATATGTGAGTGATCTCGTTACGCCGAAACCGTCTCTTTCCATGCTTACAACGCGTGACTCGTCTACAGAAGAGTCCAGAGGACTTTGAGGAGGGCGACTTCCGCCGGCAGGTCCCGAGGTACTCGAAAGAGAACTTCCCGAACATTTTGAAGCTCGTGGATGGCCTGAAGAGAATCGGCGAGAAGTACAACATTACGCCAGGCCAGGTTTCCCTCGCTTGGATCCTTGCCCAAGGCGAGGATGTAATCCCCATCCCGGGAACTACGAAGATCCCGGTAAGTCAGGTCTCACCTCGCATCGGTCAAGTCGCTCATAACTCGTCGTGCAGAATTTGAAAGAAAACCTCGACGCCTTGAAAGTCAAGCTCTCTCCAGAGGACATTAAGGAGGTCCGTAAAATTGCGATCGAAGCGGATGTCGCCAAGGGCCCGCGTTACCCGCCGCGCTTGTTCTCCGTGCTGTTCGCGGACACCCCGCTCCTGCAGGAGTGAATGGAAGTGGAAGCGTAGTGGCGCACATATGAGAAGTGGACCGCACCGCTGTATCAGTATCTGATTACCAAAGGTGTGCAGTGCAATCGGATCTATGGTAGCCTTTCTTCCACTAGCTTGGACTTCCTCACTTCAAATGTTCACGAGTCAGCGTCCTATGTGTGCAGGAGAAATGTGATACATGTATCCGCAGATTGGCATTCCGACGAGGGTGGGTTGGAACACAGCATACCTTGGACAATATGCCTGGATGGCTGCAAGCATCTGCCTGATCCCGTCTACGAGCGGTCTCATGGACGGAAGGCTTGCCTTTCCAGAGGTCATGGCAGAGGACGAGATGCCCCATTGTGCGAAGAGTTCAAAGCCACAGACTGTTTATAATAGAACCTTCTGATGCCCATGTCCACTCAAAGGTTAAGCGGTTAGCTCTCTGCCGCGTTTGAGAGCTGCATCTTACATGCCTCAAGATGATGTCGGACACATAAGATTGCTTCCCAGAGCATCACTTGCGTTGATGCTATACCGTCTTGCCATGCACAAGCGCCCTGCAGACACGTGAGGAGCGAGCAGCGGCACAGCGGAGCTAGACTTTGAAGCTTGAAGTCGGGTCCTCTGCCCCGTTTCAAATGTTATTCATCGAGAATTTATACCGACTCCCGGTTCTTCTGCTTCTAGCGCGTCAGAACGTATGCTTGCAAGGCTCATTTCCGTCAAAGGCGGCGCGGACGTGAAGGAGCGAATGAGTACTTTGAGAGCGCTTGACAGCCACCAGCATTGATATCGAGCGCCCGCCTTCGAATTCCGCCGGCTTTGCACCGCATCAGCTCGCCACTCATTGCAAAGTCGCTTGACCAGGCGCACGACCTCCATCGTCTCTTCGTACCGCCTCTCAGTCGCATCCCGCTCCCATCAACCAAACCTCCCCGTCCCATCTGCGCGCTCTCGTGTCAGAAGTCACCCGGCGAGTGCAGCAAGATGTCACGTCGAGCAGCCATAGTCGAGGAATTCGACGACGATACCGACCTTCCGCTCCCGAGCAAGCCCTTACCCAACACGGGCAGTCGCGGCGCGATTCTGCAAGAGATAGACGCAACGGACTCGGAGGGCGACGATGACGACGCCCCAAGCGTGAGGCAGCCCGCTGCAGGCCCCGCCTCGCCCTCCCTGGCACAATTCAGGCAGCACGCAGCCGTGGATGCGCACACCAACGTCCCGGTAGACCTCACCCCTTACAAGAAGTGCGTCTCTTCACCTCTGCACTCTCCCTTTTCGGATGCCCAGCGGTACGGCATGAGAGCCGTCGGGACTGATTGCTGCCGTCAGGTGGACATGCATCTACCCCATCTACATCGACGCCAAACGGCCGTACGGCCGCGGCGAGCGGCGCATCCCGCGCGCCAAGAGCGTCTGGTGGCCGCTCAGCAAGGACATCGCAGACGCGGCGAACCGCCTCGGGCTGGGCACGATCCACGAGGTGCAGAAGTCGCACCCGCGCGACTGGGAGAATCCCGGCCGGGTGCGCGTGCAGTGGAAGAAAGACGGCCGGCTGGTCAACCCTGCGGTCAAGACCAGTACGTGTCTCCTTTGTACTCTCAGGCTCGCGCGCGGTCCCCCCGCTAGAGCTGGCGCGGTGTCGCTGCGGCGGAGGGGCGGGCATGCGCGCTCTTGGGTCGTAGGGCATGCTACTCAAAAGTGCGGGATTGTAGAGAAGCAGCTCCTCGAGATGATCGCGCTACAGATCCA